AAGCCAGGAAAAATCATACTTAATATGGGAAAATTCACGTCAATAATGATTAAATTATTTTCGACTTCATTTTCATGTCGGAATCGTGTCAATAATAATCTTAGTGATCTGATTTTTTTTTACCGAATACTTATATTTGCTCTTTTTAGATGTGTTAATAACTTTAAAAAATGTTAACGATTTTTCTAGTTGTTTTATAGTAACTGTGGATATTTTTAGTGTTCATATGATCTTACCATATATGGGTAAAATCGTTTTTGCCGAACGTAAATTCTCGAAAATGTCTTAAAAATATACCTTTTATTTGTGGCCCAATACCGGGTAATAAAATTTACAAAAATATTATTTACGAAGCAGGTAGATAAAATGTGGCCCGAATCCCGACCGTCCAATCTAAAATCCGAACTATAAGGAAAGGTATTCGATAGGAGTTGGATTCGCATAGCTATAAACCTTTTCCGGAAAACGTGGAACAACTTACCACAGTTTCATGGCGATCGGATGAACGGTGTAGTGATGCATAAAGGACACGGGCATACGTTCGTTTTTACGTGTACATAATAGATAGAAGATTGTCCTGACTTCTCAACTTCTCACCCACTACAATGATACCAGATACGCCCATTGACAGTATCGGTTTTTTTTTTTTCGTGTTTAATTGTTACGACATATGATAATATACCCATAGTTATTATTATTATCGTGCGTTCGTTCTCCGGCGCATACGGATACGGGTAAACAATAATTATAACATTTTTTTTTTTTTTTTTTCAAAATACAATATAATAATAATAATAATAATAATAATATTATGTGTACAGATGTGGTTCGGGGCGCGCATATTATATACATAGGGATACCGAATATGCAGGGAACAATAGCCGACGCGCAATACATCACAGTAATAATAATATTATTATGATTATGTGTGCCCGAACGCACGGGTTTCCGTCGCGACCTCATGCTGGAAATGTTTGAAGAACGCGCTGATGCGCGTGTAGGCACGCCGCCGTGTCGCTGAATAAATTTAGTGTTGTATAATGGTAAATATCGTAAAAAATATCTAAACAATTGTATAACAGATAATTATTGTTAGAATTATTATCTACAGATAAAGATAAATGCGGAGCAACTCGTTCGTGTTTAAATAAAAAATAGATAAAGATAAATTCGTTTCATTCTCGCATTATCATAAAACTATAAGCGACATAAAGCTCTATTAGCGCTTATTATTACCGGATATGTTACTTGGGCCGCCGTCTGAAGAGAACACTGTATTGTGCACAAACTACAAATTAAACAGCTCTTTTTGGATAAGAAAAATAATAGACATTTATAACATATTATTGCATACGAAACGTAACTAGGACTTTAAGAATATAGTTAATATTGTAATACACCTGAATAGCTCAACGCAAAAAGACGCAGTAGCGATTTAAAGGGGGGGACCGAGCCCCCCCCCCCTTGACAGTTATATTGTACTTGTAGTTGTAATAATATAAGTTAATAATGATTAGAAATCATCGTTCAAATTACGGTTAGATCGAATATTAGTCGGCTTTTACTAATTTTAGCAGTATTATCAGTCACAAAATGCACGTGTAAACGACCATTTTCCACGTTGAAACGTAGACAAAAAAACTCAAGGAGTACAACAGAGGAAAATCGTTTAAATGGATTGGCGTTGCTTAATAAGCGCAAAGAAATTTGTGTGATATCCGAAGATATTTTAGATCTCTTTTTCTAAATAACTACCTTGAAGTTTACAGTTTTCCCTAAATAATAATATTTAAACTAAATTAATACATTTTACGTTATTTTTCTTTATTTTATAATATTTCAATTAGTAGCCTTTCATAAGTAATTTTTTTAGAAAAGAGTCATTTTTTATTATATGTCAAAAATTATGTTCAAGAGTTTAGAATTCTGAGTAGCTGGTCTTCCACACACAAGATAACTTGGCGTATTTACAATGTTCAACAAAATACTGTAATATACAGAGTAATAAATCTATCGTAAGTTACTCGTTATCTCGAAAAGTATTAACTCTTTTTCGGAATCTGTTTTGTAGAACATTTAAGAAATAAGGAGCTCTTCAATTTTGCATTTATGTTATTTTTTATTACCCTTAATTTTGAGGGTGAAACCACTACCTAATTTTGATTTTCAAGCTGAAACCTATATTAAAAATTCTATAAATATATGGTATATTAGCTAAAATAAATTTAAATTTTGTCATTTTTAAATTCCGTCAATCTATTGACGAGATATTCCGCATTTAAGTTCGGGTCAAGGGAGAATAGTAGTGTATTATTAAAACGCCACGTGCCGATGCTCCACTACTCATTTAATTGATCACTCTGTGAACAATTATTCAAATACTATTTGAAACATACTTATTTAAACTTAAATAACTTAAATAACAAAAGCCAAATGGGAATATGACGTACTGTTATAGCCAGTTCTAAAGAAAGTTGTGTGCTGTTCCATCACCAGTGATCACTAGAAATTAGTGGTATTACTAGGTAATTTTTGGGCGATGAAATTACTTCCTACTTTAAATTTTCGAATAGCAATTTATGTTAAATAGATGTAGTATTAGTTTAAATATATTTTGGCGTTTCATTTTTTGATTTTCGTCAACTCGTTGACAAGATATTTCGTTTTTAATTTTGGGTAGTGGTCACTATTCAAACCTCGCGCGCGAAGTAATACATTACAGTGCAAGTAAGGTAATACATCGTAACTGTTCAATTTTTTTTTCCTAAACTAATGGTACTGGAAAATAGACACCATTTGCTAGTCAACTCATTGTACACGCCAGTATAGGAAATGTCCTTTCTATACTACTCTATGACCTATACAAAGTAAACAGGGTGCGTATAGCCGTTATTCCAAAATGTTCAAGATCCGTCAAATATGAAATAATAACGATCCGAAAACGAAAATTTACCTACACAATTCACTAACAAAATTCCCTTGTGTGAAAAGATCCATTCGCAATTTTTAAAATAGAACATTTATTTAGTTAAACAATGAGTTTTACAATTTGTATGTTAGTAACTTATCACAATTACTTTATATACGTTTTTTTGTAGTATTGTCTGAGTTAATAAATCAAGGAAAGTAACTGTACCTTAACTTGGTTACTGGAATTGGGTGAATTGCATTGCTTTAATGGGACAGAGTCCCATTAAAACCTAAACTAATGGTGGCGTGCTCTTTCCGCCCGTGCGTTTCCCGCTCTTCGTCTTTTTCGTACTATTTCCATTTGTTATCGTATATTATTCATACTTACTAAAATTATATTACGTGGATTATCCGCTCATAATCCGTACATAATTGTCAACTTATTATTATAACTTAACTTACGAGTATATTATATGAACCGTTTATAACTATTGTCAACTAACCAAACTAATTGTTTAAAATATAATTTAATTTCTGAACAAACGATCAATAATTTATATATAAAAACCTGCACCATATACCTAAAAAAATATAATTTTTTATCGCCTGTAAATCATGAAGTCAAAACTAGATATTCAGCTAATAATTTCTCATTAAAAATGGCCTAAAAAACCGGGGTATCGTAAGATGATCGATTTCGTTGTGTTAAAGATACATAATATAATGCCCCAAAATGTTGCCAATATATCCCACGTTCAAAAAAAAAAACTTACCCACTAGCTTCTTCGTGAATAAAGAGGAGTAATATCAAGGACTGAATGAATATCATGACGAATAGCAGTCAGGAAGTTCAGGTAATTATTTTGGTTACTATAGATACATCTAGGTGATACGAAATTAAATTTTCTTTTTGTCCATATCTCTATGGATATTTGTAAAATGTTATAGACAAACGATAATGGCCGTTACAGGATTAATAATCATTTTTTCACACATATTTTGATTAATATCCCGTTCATAATACCAATTATCATGCAAAAAAGTTATTTGTAAACATGTACACAAGTGCGTTTCATACCTACACTATTTTAATAAATACGATTATGTTCTCATAGATTATTAATGGTGAATAACGGTGGCTTTAAAACTATAGATATAATTTATAGATAGTATATTTCAACGTCAACCACGGCTTTTCAACAAATAGTTGACATATTATACATCATTGTTAATACATTTCATTCAGTATCAGATGTCAAAGCTTTTATTTTTTGTTGACTTTTCTCGGAAAGTAGCATTGCGTCTGTTATTATTTATAATTTAGAAGTTATACATTATGCATATACAGTGGCACTGAACACGAAGTTTAGGTCTGGTCAAGATCAGGCCATTTTTTTTTTGGGTCGGTAGGTTAATTTTATAATACTATTTTATTGAGTTTTGGCTAATGTGGTTAGCACATAGCACAATATTTTATATGAGTGTGCTGAGTACACTCATATAGTATACTCGTATTAATATTCTATTTTTGAAATACGAAATAGTAGAAAATAAATTCATGGTTCATTAGTTTTTCAGCTATTTTTCAATGATACGAGCCTATTTTATAGGCTTGTGTGATATATATATCACTGGAGATATCGAAAAATTGCATAGATGTAGTATACTAGAAACTTTCACGAGAGTGCACTCAACGATATTCCAAAGTTTCATGGTGATCGAATGAACAGTTTTGGAAGGCATAAGAGTCATACAGACAAACAATCATTTTAGATTCTGAGTATAGAGAAGAATGATTTAGCTTTACAAACATGTTTATTGTTTTTTGTATAGTTAATAATAAATCAACTCGATGAAAATATACAACCCTCGGTCAACTTTTTTAATCCAAAACCTAAGACAATTGAGAACTTCTAAATCTTTCCAAAATCAATTAAACTATGAATAATATTTTGCTATTGTTATCTTTATTCCCCCTATATAATCTACTGTAGTGGAAAAACTTTTTTCGAACTAGATGGCTTTGAGTAATTTGAAACTATTTTTAAACATATATTTTTGTCAAATTTACGTCGCAATATCCATAGCAAATGTATTCGGCAAACAGAAAACAAGACATGAAATTAGCTAAACTAATTGGACATACGCTACACCGTATCAACCTACAAAGAAAAAGAACAGAGGGATCCACAAAAGGGAAAAATATCAGAGGAAGACCACTACTCGATTACATGGGTCAACTAGCTAGAGATATAGGATGCCCTATGCTCAACTTACTGCAATTTAAAAAGAAAAATAGAGAAGTGAGAATAATTGACAAATGCTGCCAATCAGCCCCTGGGTTGTTAACCAAAATAATGATTACCTACTAAATATTGGAATGAATAGAATGAAAATTTCCAAATAGGGGTAGGGAAAGAGTAGACTGGCGAGACGCATGTAGTATTTTGATTTTTATAAATTATTATATAATTTAATAAATTATTGGTTTGATTTTGAATCGCTTGAAACACGTCATGAGGTCATAAGTATTACGAAAGATCAAAATTCATCTTTATATTAGTACCTATAATATAAAATTATATGAGTTGTAATCAAAATATATTGGTGTGTTTTGACGACAAGGCCCCTCAAGGGTTATCTACCGACGTAAATAATTTAATCGGGACATAAATTCGCGAGTCGTCATTGAGCCGGTAACATAATGCTGCTAGTGATAGACGTTTTCAAAAAGTTTATAGTTTTATACCATCGATAGTTTTCAAATTACTCGTCGCGCGAATATCCAATTGGGTGTCTGAAAATAGAGTTATCGGAAAACACGTTTTCGACTGCACAGGTCGATGAAGAACGTCGAACGTCATATTCGAGGGACCAGCATTAGACGCGGAATTCACTCGGTGACATTATATTATTATACTTTTTGCACTTTGTCGTTTAAGATTTTAGAATGATAATATTATATCCGCATACCCGCGACGTTTCTTAAATATCGGTTTATGGATTAATAAGCTGTTTCTCGGGAAACAACATGAACGAATTGTTCCAATCGAATTATCACAAAAACTAAAAAAAACCACCGCGCATACGTTCGCAACTCAAATCACAACAAGACGTATCTGCTTCAGGGATTCCACCTTATAATTTTTGTTTGAAAATTGGAATTCCAATCATGTTTTAGGCATCCTCGTACCTCCGAAAAACTACGACGGCGCGCAAGGGCTGATTAACGTTTCACATAGAAATGAGCAAAAAAATCCTGGTGCACCATAATAATATACATATAACATATAACTTATACATAACTGACGCAGTGTCATTTACTTTAAAAACTTGAAAAAAAAAAATGTATTTATAAGAAAAAAAAAAAAAGCAGTTTATAATATCAAATGAAATATTAAACTATTTTGTTTAAAAGTGGTTGACGTTGAAATATAATATCGTCTATTAATTTATCATAACCATAAATAAGCCATTGTAATTCGCCATTAAAAAATTATCAAAATAAACGTATTTATTCAAATGGTGAGTAAACGCACGTTTGTGTCATGTTTACTCGGTGTTAAACAGCAATCATTTATTTATAATATTACGCGATTAATGGTTTTGTATACGAAAAATAAATAGAAATCCGTGTGATGAAATTATTATTAATCCGGTAATATATTGAAAAACCGTGTCATAATATCAATGCATAACGGCCGTCATCGATCGTCTACAACATTTTACAGACATCTGCGAAGATTATACAGACAAAAAGCCATTCGACTTCGATTCGTCTACAAGTAACCATACAATAGCTGATTGTTTTGGTAATATTATTTTCCGAGTTGCTTTTGTTGAAATGAATTTTAATTGTTTAATCGTTGTTCCGTGTTTTTTTATTTTACTATCCATATTTTTGACAAACGTAATATCAGAATGGGAACCCAGCGATGGTTTTTTAGTTTGTAGTAATAGCTGTTTCCAATTGTGCGAAAATAATATTACGCATTGTATAAGTTGTCTATTGCAGTGTCCTCCAGGAGTTGAGCCAATAGACGTCTCTAATTGGACGGGTATAGATTGTGAGGATGACATGAACCAATGTTACAACAGCGATAACGAGACTGTGTGTTGCAACAACGAATGTTCATAAACGAAATGAAATGACGAAAATATAATAATTAATATAATTGAAATATAATATTGGTTAATTATACGAAAATAATAAATCCCTCGGCCGAGTTTTCTTCCAAATCCTAAGCATAGAATAATAAACATTACATTTTATTTTCTGAATCTGCCCAACATCAACAATAAATCAGTATCGACTATCAATAAGATGTTTTTTTATTGTAAGTTGTTTTTTTTCGCTTCAATTTGGAAATTTTATCGTTCGCTGTTTTGTTTAATATATCATATCAAACAATTATACGTATGTATGTATACATGTATATGTATATATATATATGTGTGTGTGTGTGTGTGTGTGTGTGTATATATATATATATACATACATTTTTTTTGTTTTTATTACTATTGTGTACAATTTTTTTGAATCACATGTCTTGGGTGATTTTTCACCGTGTACTGTAATCAAATTTACGTCGCAATATCAAAGTGAAATGTATTGCACTCTCTGTAGGCAATATCTACAGCAATCAGTAAACTGTGCACGCAGCCTTTTTAACGGTAAGTGGTATATAATAATATTATAAGACGCATCTGCAATACGAACAGTACCACATTTTGGTATCGTCAAATAACGCTGGTGAGGTACTAACGTTGAGAGTATGAGAGGGTCTAGGCCCGGATTAACGGGGAGCTGACTGCATGTAAATATAGAATAAAATTTGTGTTTTTAATTTAAAAAAATGTATAAATGTTATATCTTAATTGTATAGGCTGATTTATTTATGTCAAATTGTTTTCCATTTAAAATAATTTCCTATATACTATTTTTTTAACTTGCCATTGGGTTTATCATTATTTTTTCGCCATTATCAATACTGTTAATACTACTATTAAGAGATATTACATAATACATATTATGTAAAATATTATATAAACTCATAGAGAGTTAATTCGTGTACTTAAGATTCAAAACTGGATCTTGACAGAAGTTTATGCACACAGTGTGCTTAATTACATATTAAATTACAATTGAAATAAATATTTGTACCTACTTATCCAAAGATGTTGAATTTATCGGTAAAAAATTGTCGGTAAATTTACCAATAAATAATGTCTTTTTAACTGCTGGTATAATTATAAATGGTGTGTAAGCACAGACTATGTAAAACCACATGGTGAACTTCCTAGTCAGCCTATGTAAATGTAAATAAACGAAAACCTACCAAAACCTTGATTGATGACGTTTATTGTTAAATATATAACGTGCTCCTTGAATATCCGATCATCAAGTATTGTTGGTGTTCCTTAAATATGAAAATTGTTCACTAGAAAACAATTACAAAATACAAATAGATTAAAGATTGCAAAGATATAATAGATAGAATAAATATATGCCTAAAGATTACCACGTAGTAAATTGAAGCTACTAAAAATTCAAATAGCTTTTTGCAGTTTCATTAATTTGCATACTTGATACTCGTATACTTTTAACACACAATATTTTGATGTATTAAATATTATTTGATACAATAATTATCGTAAAAGTTGTTGTACAATAATTCATTTATAATATATGGTCCCACAACATTGAGGTAGATTCGAGTTATCGGTAAATTTAGAAGTACACCAACTGATTTTATATAATGTGTGATAAAGGTCCGTATCGACGTATGCCCGTTAATATTCTATGTCATTATCTACCAGCGTTACTCATTATCAAAATATCAAAAATTATACATACGGTTTAAAATGTATGGATGCCCAAAGAGCTATAGTAAAATTGTCATTTAGTGAAGCCGTTTAGACTCCCAAACAGCTGACACGTATTAAGAAACTGGAAATATGAGACTAGCACCCAAAGAGAGATATTTATCCGGGGATCGGAGAAAGTGGGGAGCGTCTAGCTGTTTATTATACGATTATTCTAACGACACTATAAGTGAATAAATCTACCAGTAATGCTAGTGCACATTTGCCCAGACATGATAAGGTAGAGTCAGATTACTTTCACTTTTTCATAGCTCGTTGGCCATCCATACTATCTTTATCAGTGATTATTATAATTAAAAACTTACGTCCCGTTGATTAAGAGAATAAACGATAACACATTTTTAAAATAGTAAGTAAATATTGTAAACAATAAAACAGTTTGCAACAATGGAAAAACCTCAGTTGCAGTGTAATAAGGTATTACTGTATTCAGTGGCGTGTCCAGGAATTATCAATGGAAAGGGATGTATAAAATAAGAATTATTCTTTGCTATTTAAAAGCTGAATCCCAAAAAAAAGGCCAATTTCTAACCAATTTGTCAAGTTTTTCCTCGTAACTGGCTAAAATAAATGCATTTTGACATTAGATTCATTATATTTTTTGTGTTTTAAGCCAATATATTATAAATTATAATAAAAGTATGATCAGCACGAGCCTAAGTTTACCAATTATAGTCGTATAAGTTTTCTTTATTAACTAACTTTTCAATAATTCTAAGATACGTTTTAGATACTGATTATAGCGAAGAATGTATTGGTTTTACAAAGATGTTTATTATTTTTTCTGTGGACAAATTTATACCAAAGACTTGTTCCGATTTTTACGTGTAACATCTTTTCTGAAGAAAAATCTGTATGAGAAAGTACTTTAGAGAGGTCATTTTTTGATTTTCGACGCCACTTTTTAAATAAAATTTAAGCCACTTTTGAGCTTTTAAGGAATTTTAATTTTTGGGAGTTTTTTGCTATAATTCGGTTATAAATACATGTAGAGACTTTAAACTTTGTAATAATACTTATATTGGACTTACCTAGGTAAGGTTAGGAAAGGTAAAATTCGGTAAATTTCTTTTAATAAGCGTTTTGAAATCAAATTTAAACAAAAGTTGCAAAAAAAAATTACGGCTTTTCAAATTATGTATTACCGAACTGCGATCGGCATCGTCTTTCATCAAGCAATAATTTATCGTTGCTTACAGATATAAATGAAATAACCTTGTGTATCTCACCCTCTTAACTTCTTATCTTACCTTCCCAACTTCTCACCTTCAACAGTGGCCATTCCCATCTCCAGTATCAGCTCTTTTTTTAATTTTGTTATTTGTTATAATTTAGTTAAAAATATTCGTAAAGACTTAAAATTAGGACAAAAACGTATATTTGCCTTTTCTAGATGTGATAAAATTTTCAAAAAATTTAAGCCATTTTTGAGCTATTTATAAACATTTTAATTTTGCGAGTTTTGTACGTAATTTTTATTCGGTAGGTACACTATAGTGAAATTGTTAGTTTTAACAGAAAACTTGAAAATTTAACAGGACGTTCATGAAGAGTTTTTGTTAAAAAAAAAAAATTGAGTTTAATATAGTATTTTTTTAAGGGAATATTAATATCATATTTTGATGAAAATCGTTTAAATAAAAAATGATATGGAACAAATCAAATTTTTTATTTTTTTTTTTATTTTTGAACATATGCATATTACCGATTTAAAAATGATGGTGAAGTCAGAACTGAGCGGACTGAATAAGTTTCGAAATTATAGCTTTTTAAAGTTTTTATATGCGGATATTATATGTTATGTTAAATAACTCTACATTGTCTTGCTTAGAATATGTTTGTCACAACCGAATGGTTATACATACTTATTATCATCCTAGGAGTCGCGAGTTCAAACCTGTGTTACGAAAAACCTGTTTGCACTTATTTTTTCCCTTTTACCTAAACAGGGAAATAACAAATGCATTTCAGGCATACCTAGAGACCCAGCTATCGCTCACTCGGACCGTTTCAATTAAAATATATAGACCTATAGAGGTAGTTTAGGCATGGCTACGGAAGTAGACATTTTTCTCTCGTTTTGAGAGAAAATAGACTGTGATGGTTTGGGCTTGTTACGGAAAGAGAGAAATCCAAAACATTAAAAATTATAATGCAAATAAATTTTGGAGGAAACAGGTGGAGAGAAAAACTGATAAGAGTTGAATATGTTTGAGAATGATATGATGACAGCTAATGTATATGAGTTGGGAAATCGGATCGAGCGAAAGTTTATAACGAGGAAGGCTGACCCCAAATATTTGGGGTAGAGGCAAAAGAGAAGAAGAAGAAAAAGAAATACATAAAATGTTTATATAGTTAAAATATATTATGTATGTACGCACCTGACCGCAGGCAGTGGCGATTTGAGGGAGGGTGCCAGAGGAAGCTTTAATGAGTGTTTTATATAATTGTCTGAAACTATGCCAAAAATTAAATATTAATATAAATCATTTTCGTTACACGAAGTCTTTCGAAAGTTATGTTAAGAGTCTTGATTTATCTTGGATATAGCGTATATTAATAACTTTAAATACTACGTATTTACTTAAAGTTTTCCTACTTTATTTCAACCTTTTTCCTAGTTTTAATATTGTGTACTATTTTCTTTTTTATATTTTGATATTAATTATCACAATATGATATTTTATGTGTGTACGATTGTAATATTGATAAGAACCGCTCCCCAGCACAAGCTTGGCATATACGGGGTGCTGAAATTCAATTTCTGCGTAGTGCCTATTAAATTTATCACCTGTGGTTTTTTTTTTTTTTTTGCAAAATATAATAATTATAATAACGACTGATATATATTTTACAAATATTTATACAAATATATGTCTGAAGAAATTTCAGTTAGAGAGAGGAGGGGCGTTATTTTTTTCTCACCTGGGTCGCGAAATATCTAAATACGTCTCTGACCGCTGGTTACTGCACATTATGCAATGATGTGTGAATGAACAGTAAATATTTTACTGGAGTAAACCGTGCTTTCCGAACAATGGCATTACGATAAAATGAAAATGATTATTGCAATACACATAAATACTGCAATCGTGTTTGTGGCACGCGCCGCATTGGACAACCGGTTAAGTACGGAAGGTAATTTTTTTTAAATAATATAACATCAATTTAATATTACCTGGAAAATCTATCGTGTCCAATATGCGATGGACATTTTATAAAACGCCCAAATTGTATACTTCGCTCGTAACATAATATACACACTATTATATAGTATATAAAAAATATAACTGTATATTTTTTGCGAAAAAGCAACAGTTTTTTTTTTTTTTTTTTTTATATTAACATTGAATAAAATATCAAATATAAAAAAAATTGTATTTATTTAAGTACCCATTTCATATTTGATATATTATTTACATTATTGCATAGACAGTATATTATGTATTTTTTGTGCAATAGATACTTTTGGACACCCTTGATTTGTGTAGTTAGTAATATTTATGTGTATATAAAGTACGTCATAGTAAACTATTAAGTAGGTACCTATATTATAAATTACATATTTTATAATCTTTAACAGATAATAATTAAAAAAACAAAACACACATCATTGTTATACCAATGAACTCCTCGTTACCATCGGAACATTAAAAAAAAATATATATATATTTTATAATATGTTTAAAAAGCCGTAGTTGACGTGGACATATTTTTAATTAATCATAGTATTTAAATACAGAGCGATTATTTTATTATGAACCAACAATTTTCTTGTAGATTTTAAGTGAAATTGGTTTCTGTTTTTTTTTTTTTTAATAATTATGGGATCATTTAAGCTTTATTTTCATACTATTTTCAATTGTATCTCTACTTCTTATATCTGAAATGGGTATTCATTTTGGATTTTTAAATATAAACCTCCCTCTCCTTTTCAATCACAGATTCAAAAAGAGAATATTTTTCTAGTCGTTTTGAATTGTATAACACTTATTTCAGATTTATAACTTATTTATAACAGTTTAATCCAGAGGAAGGGTAAATAAAGTACAGGTCCATTTTTAAATGAAAAATGTATAATCCTGCTCTGTTTCTCAGGTCTAAGCTTTAAACTGTTATAATTCATAATAAACGATAAAACCTGATATTATGTAATATTTACATCAAAATTTCCAGAAAAATCTACGATTAGAAGGGAGTGGCTGTGTACAAATTTAAAATGGATAGGTACTCGTTTTAGTTAGAAGGTGTAGGGGTAAAAAATTGAAAATAGTGTTTAAATAAAGCTTCAACGAGTACATAATGGTAAACAAAATCCGAAATCAAATTTATTAAAAATCTTATCGGAAAACCGCTGGTTCGTGATAAAAGAGTCACTCTGTATAAGCTACCACGATTTGCCATTAAAAATGTATGAAAATGTAATTTAATTCGTTCAAATGTCATGAAAAAGCAATTGTGCATCGTGTTTACTGTTTGTTAAAAGGTGAATACCTATTTATTTTGCGTGATTAATGGTTATGCGTATAGAATATAAATCGAAATCTGCGTGGAAAAATCATTATTAATCCAGTTATACAGTATTTAATATTAATACACAGGATACCTACTCTTGTCATAAAATTATGATCGTGTAAAGGCCGTCATCATTTGTCTATTATATTTTACAAGCATCCACTAAGATTACACGGACAAAAAACATTTAAATTGGTTTCACCTCGATTCATCGGCAAGCGCTGAAAAGGCCAATCGGTTTGACAACATTGTTTTTTCATCAGCAAGTTTTGAAATTAATTTTATTTATTTGATCGTTTTCTTATACACCAATTTGCTGATCGTATTATCAACAGATGATTTAAGTTCAGGATGGGTTCTCACTTCTCGCTGGCAGTTCGCTCACATGCGAAAAAGGCAAGAATCAATGTTTGGATCCTTTAACACTTTGTCTTTGTCGTGGAGATACAAAATATCCTGTATGTAATGACACAGAGCAGAATGACTAAGCGATTGGTCCCATGAACTGTTATCAAAATCAGACAGTGTGTATGTGTTGCATGGCCAAATGCAACTCATAAACGAAATGAAATGAGAAAATTATAATGCTATAATACCAAAATACTTCGATGAAAATGATAAAAAATCCTTGATCAAATTTCTTTTCAAATTCCAAGAATACTAGTGGCTTTGTGTAAATAAATTCTAAATCTCCCCAAACATAATAAACTAATAATAAGATGTTTTTATTGTTTATTTTTTGGGATTTTTTTTCGCTTCAATTTGGAAATTATATCTTTTGCCTTTTCGTTTAATATAATATCAAAATATGATCTGATGTAGGCCTTTTTCTGAAAGGAAATTATTTTGGGGTGGTACTTTTGGGTGGTAATTTTTCGATTTTCCCAGGAGATTTCTTAGTAAATGTGAAAAACCGAGAAAAACGTGGGAAAAACGAAAAAATCGAATTAATATTAAAAAAAAATATATAATGCTTATTTAATTATTTCAATAGTTTTAATTACTTATCATGTTTATATGACATACATATATTGTTTAAAAAGCATCACTATCAACTGAACTTTACTCAAAATCGTTTTTCCGTTAGCAGTGGTTTATCGTTGTCTACAGATATACATTAACATATCTAATGATAAAGTACCACACCAACCAGCATACATCATTTGGTAACTGTTGCATAGGACATTCATCCTAGTCGCCACTACTATAGACTATAATATCGTACCTATGTGTAGTAATAAGTAGGTACTATAAACTATATAGTACCTACGTATAACTGTTAATAAGTAGTAACACTTTTTATTATCGTTGATAAAGTTGGTGAGATGGTTCTCAATACTATATTAACACCACTATAAACTAATTTAGAATATCCTGTTTAGTTGCGTGTGGTATTTATTATTAATGCAATGTGGTTGGCTGAATTTACTGATCAATAAAATATTGATTAGCAAATGAGCCCACTTTTTTCCGGGTATAAACGAAAACAAAAAATGTGCTCTTCAAGCACTATATTTTTTAGGGAGTTTTTAAAAATGTTCCAAATGATGTACTACTTCAAGATACTATTTAGGCGCCGGTAACTCCGCATGTTTTAAAATTTCTAATAAATGAAACAATCGATGAACAATCAATATATCATTGCAGATGTAAACCTCCACTGTGCGGTGTTTAGTTAAACATCTGTAATAAATATTTAAATTTAAATTATATATATTTTGTAAGTACAAAATCAATTAGGATTAGACACCAATAACATGATGTAAAACGTAGACATACAAGTGTAAAAAAACTCTATTGATAACAATTAATTTGTTTTACGCTATTTTTAGGTTACATAAAAATATTGTTTAATGATTTATAATCAATACAATTTTATTGGTTTACCGTCCAGGAAATTGTATATTAAACGTGTATTCAATAAGAAACAAAAAAAAAAAAATCATAATAAGAATACTATTTTGCTCAGATTCTAAAAAAAAAAAAAGTGATTGAATATTATACTAGTATTATTAATATTATTATTGTGTATAATTGTATAATATGTATTTAATATTTCAATGTGGGATTTGTCGAAATCTCATTGATAAAACATCATACTATGTACGAAGTTTGACTTTTGTCAATATACGAAAGGTACCGTTTGATAATTATTTTATAATATTTCGTCGACGGTTACATAGATACACACTACAGAGCGATTCACGTTATAATAATAATAAAATAGACAGCGATGGTGTTGACAGTTTGTATTTCTGATTGTTAAACATTTTGCCCATTTTTTTTTTTTTTAAAGAAGGAGAGAGAGTTTCATGCAATTTTTTTAAAACTATTTTCCAGAAATAATACTCTATATATCTGTACTGACAAACAATTATTAACTAGAAACGATTTATACTGTATCAATAGTATTTTTCAAATGTCGCCGGAGTAACCCAAAAATCAATACAAATTGTATAATAAATTGCTAGTTTTCCCGTTTATAAAAAAGATTACCAGGAAAATAAAAAAAAAAAAATGACTTTCTTAGTATTCACCACCTATAAGTTTTTATTCGGAGCAATATTTTTCATAAAAGTTTTTTTTTAAAAATCACACACACAAAAAATAGTTAAACGAATATATTTTTCGCCGTGCCCGGATTCGCGGAGGAAAATTAATTAATCAAATGTCATTGTTGCTGTAGTGTTATACGATTAAATTTCGTCTTAATTTATGTTTGTGTTAACTCATTATCAATGGTACAAAAAATTGTATTTTAAATATAATTGTTGCCGTTTCAACGGCTTTAACCTAATAATTATTAATATTTTAAGAAAACTTTGAAGAGAATATCGTTGTTGGTTTCAAAATATTTCCGTCTGTATATTATTGTATTAATACGTGTTTTATCTGTAAAGCTGATTTTAAATGACTTTTCGTTCATTTGACCCGAACACATTTTTGCTGTATTGTCCATTAAAAATTCGTTATCGTCCGAAAATAAATCATTAGGTAAGCACACGAGTGATAACGTTTAAGTCTGCAAACTGCAGTAGAATATGTCTGAATGTCGTCGTGAGCCTGATTAATTTTAAAACGATGACGACGTATGTACACGTCAAAGGTATAATCGCGTTTACAAATTATTTAAAGTTAAGACTGGAAGTGAATGGCGTTATACACCTACACGTACATAGATAAAACACGATTTAACGTAATGTTGTACTGCTCTCTATAATATATGCTCTCTTAATATCTATATCTATATACATATATATATAGAGAAAGAGAGTGAGAAAAAAATGATTAAACATATGGAAATATGCAGGATCAGATTTAGGGTTGTGGGGGCCTAGGCCCATATCAAATAGATGCCCTGGTAAATAGAGACAAGTTTAAATGGAAAACTAAAACTTGTGAAAAATCTTACTACCTACTTTATTTATTTCGTGGGGACTTCAAATGAACTGACTTTCGTGGAGGTTTCTGAGTCTGGGCTTAAGCCGCCTTCCCCCCTAGATCTGGCCCTGTTCATATGTATAATTGCTAGTATTTTACTAATCAAAAAATTACAATCTCAAAGAATTATTTTTAATCGATCGATATAAAAACAAAGCAGGTATAAAATTAGGCTTCAAGTAAAAATCGACTGCAATACGATCGAGAACGTTCGAAATTTTTTAGCGTACGATTGAGAACGCTCGAGATGGAACAGTGAAATGGCCGCTATATTACTATCGAGAACGAAATTATATGCATCGTTGGCAAACTGTATTCAAGTTGAAACTCATAAATAAATTATGAAAAACGTATG